ACAGCACCCGCCCGTCCCTCTCGTTCGGCAGAATGACCATCCAGGATTAGAATCTCGTCCGTTCAGTAACCGTCTCCCCGACAGAGTGTTGTGATAAACAATTAAGCCAGCAATATGTTCCATACATAAAATCGTTAGCGAAAATTTATAATAGGTATGGTCCATTTTACCATCCTACTATGAAGATGTAGTCAGTTATGTCTGGAGCGATAAATGAACAAAGGGAGATAACCCCTACATATTCTGATATCTTTTAAGTTCCTGAAGACAGGTTCAGGTGTTTTACACTCAGCAGGGACCCTAGGTAGGTGTCGACACCAAATTGCAACGGGGAAGTGAAATTTATGATATGAATTCTTATGAATCCAGCGAAGTGGATCCCTAAAAAAACCCGTGCTGGAAAATATCATTAAATAAAATATTAAAATGAAACTAGAATAAACAAAAGTAAGGAAATCAGGCCAAATGGTGAAATAAAGTTGTTCAAATTAGTTATATGTATAAGTACAGCTCTGGTACACTGGGAATTTTGTTATCTTAAAGTGTTGTTATCTTCGAGTTCGTGTTATCTTCGGGGAGTTGTTATCTTCGGGGAGTTAATTTCTTCGAGGAGTTGTTGCCTTCGAGTTCTTGTCATCTTCAATGATTTTTGTTATCTTCGAAGAGTTTTTACCTTCATGGAGTTCTTATCTTCATGGAGTTGTTATCTTCATGGAGTTGTTATCTTCATGGAGTTCTTATCTTCATGGAATTGTTATCTTCATGGAGTTCTTATCTTCATGGAGTTCTTATCTTCATGGAGTTGTTATCTTCATGGAGTTGTTATCTTCATGGAGTTGTTATCTTCATGGAGTTCTTATCTTCATGGAATTGTTATCTTCATGGAGTTCTTATCTTCATGGAGTTCTTATCTTCATGGAGTTGTTATCTTCATGGAGTTGTTATCTTCATGGAGTTCTTATCTTCATGGAATTGTTATCTTCATGGAGTTCTTATCTTCATGGAGTTCTTATCTTCATGGAGTTCTTATCTTCATTTCATGGAGTTCTTATCTTCATGGAGTTGTTATCTTCAATACCACACACTCCACTTACACCCGAACACTTCCGTTCCCTTCGGTTCACCAGCACGCACCCCGCTCGCGCCTTTACCTACACACACATCCCGCTCCCACTTATATCCCCAAAACACATACTACAAAAACATGAATGTGCATTTTCAATGTCTATAGCTCTATGAAAGCTCCAAGTTTCACCATAGGTAACAACAACTATTGCTACGTCAAAGTGGTGACATTTTGTCCATCAGTCAGAAATAAACTTGTCTTCCCATTTCAGCTGCATACTTCTGTGGTTTGTTAAACTTTCCAATTAACTTGAAAAACATACTCAAATAGATAAACTAGTATACAATATCAGTTATCAGTTATCTCTCTCCTACCTATACCCCAACACACATACATTATGTATCTCTCTCCTACCTATACCCCAACACACATACATTATATATCCCGCTCCTACCTATACTCCAACACACATACATTGTGTATCTCTCCTATCTATACCCCAACACACGTACATTATGTATTTCTCTTCTACCAATACCCAACACACATACATTATGTATCCCTCTCCTACCTATACCCCAACACACAGACATTATGTATCTCTCTCCTACCTTTACCCCAACACACAGACATTATGTATCTCACTCTTACCTATACCCCAACACACATACATTATGTATCCCTCTCCTACCTATACCCCAACACACATATATTATGTATGTGTGTTTTATGGAAAAACATTAACTAGATTACGAACAAGTACTTGTTTGTTGTTCAATAGGAAATGGGAAGGGTGAGTTACCCAAGCCGAGTGGTCACACACAGTACTTTTATCTCCGGAAACGACGGAAAACCAGGAGGAAACAAACGTTACGTGTATTGTTTTCTGTATTAATAATATGTGTTGTCTTTCATTACACGTGTTTTCTGTAGAAATGCTATGTGTTGTCTTTCATTACACGTGTTTTCTGTAGAAATGCTATGTGTTGTCTTTCATTACACGTGTTTTCTGTAGAAATGCTATGTGTTGTCTTTCATTACACGTGTTTTCTGTAGAAATGATATGCGTCGTCTTTCATTACACGTGTTTTCTGTAGAAATGATATGTGTTGTCTTTCATTACACGTGTTTTCTGTAGAAATGATATGTGTTGTCTTTCATTACACGTGTTTTCTGTAGAAATGATATGTGTTGTCTTTCATGACACGTGTTTTCTGTATTAATAATATGTGTTGTCTTTCATGACACGTGTTTTCTGTATTAATAATATGTGTTGTCTTTCATTACACGTGTTTTCTGTAGAAATGATATGTGTCGTCTTTCATTACACGTGTTTTCTGTAGAAATGATATGTGTCGTCTTTCATTACACGTGTTTTCTGTAGAAATTATATGTGTTGTCTTTCATTACACGTGTTTTCTGTAGAAATGATATGTGTTGTCTTTCATTACACGTGTTTTCTGTAGAAATGATATGTGTTGTCTTTCATGACACGTGTTTTCTGTATTAATAATATGTGTTGTCTTTCATGACACGTGTTTTCTGTATTAATAATATGTGTTGTCTTTCATTACACGTGTTTTCTGTATTAATAATATGTGTTGTCTTTCATTACACGTGTTTTCTGTAGAAATGCTATGTGTTGTCTTTCATGACACGTGTTTTCTGTATTAATAATATGTGTTGTCTTTCATTACACGTGTTTTCTGTAGAAATGATATGTGTTGTCTTTCATGACACGTGTTTTCTGTAGAAATGATATGTGTTGTCTTTCATTACACGTGTTTTCTGTTTTAATAATATGTGTTGTCTTTCATTACACGTGTTTTCTGTAGAAATGATATGTGTTGTCTTTCATTACACGTGTTTTCTGTAGAAATGATATGTGTTGTCTTTCATTACACGTGTTTTCTGTAGAAATGCTATGTGTTGTCTTTCATTACACGTGTTTTCTGAAGTAATTGTATGTGTCGTCTTTCATTACACGTGTTTTTTTGTAGAAATGATATTTGTGGTCTTTCATTACACGTGTTTTCTGTAGAAATGATATGTGTTGTCTTTCATTACACGTGTTTTCTGTAGAAATGATATGTGTTGTCTTTCATTACACGTGTTTTCTGTAGAAATGCTATGTGTTGTCTTTCATTACACGTGTTTTCTGAAGTAATTGTATGTGTTGTCTTTCATTACACGTGTTTTCTGTAGAAATGCTATGTGTTGTCTTTCATTACACGTGTTTTCTGAAGTAATTGTATGTGTTGTCTTTCATTATCGGCGTGTTTTCTGTAGAAATGCTATGTGTTGTCTTTCATTACACGTGTTTTTTGTAGTAAAAATATGCGTCGTCTTTCATTACACGTGTTTTCTGTAGTAATGATATGTGTCGTCATTCATTACACGTGTTTTCTGTAGTAATTATATGCGTAATGATAACAGGAGGGTGTGGGTTGGCCGCTCAATGGGTGGTGTTCTGTAAATGATAACGGGGAGGGCGGGTTCATCTCTCACTGAGTAGTTTTCTGGAAATGATAACAGGGAGGATGGGTTGATCTCTCACTGGGTGATGTTCTGTAAATGATAACGGTGAGGGTGGGTAGATCTCTCACTGGATAGTGTTCTGTAAATGATAACGGTGAGGGTGGGTAGATCTCTCACTGGGTGGTGTTCTGTAAATGATAACAGGGAGGGTGTGTTGATCTCTCACTGGATAGTGTTCTGTAAATGTACAGCATATAAGTAGTGTGTCAAGCCCCTGTGTTATTATGACTGGGAATTTTTTCTTGGTCATTAAGCACACTTAACTAGACATGTTACATCCGGGTCTAGCCATTATTTTTTTAATATCTGGAAATCATTTATGAACGGATAATACGGAAGACAACGTGACACATTTTCATGAGCTCATCTTGCACTCATCAGACTCGCCTGTACACTACAAACAGATGCTGGACGTTGATATAAGTATCATAAACAATAGCACTGTCTAGAACAGTGCACGTGTTGTGTCTGTCATATTTAAGTAATTGTGATAATGGTATACAGTATACTAACAAACAGACGGGATTGATAGGACAGGTCAGTATACAGCACTCTGTGATGTGACAATGCTGTTATTACATTCTATACAGATTACTGTCCCAAAGTTATAAGCCAATGTAAACTGACGTCCCTGTGTGATCCGCGGTGTTTTCGCCAATGTAAATACGGCATTCCACTGCATATACACTCTCTAAAACATTGTACAAATCGATATCACATATAAACTGTTTCCTTAACATTTAAAAAATGTTGCTTTAGCAGAGACTTAAATGGTTCATGTTGCTAGTTGAATATGAAATCAGAATCAATAAATCATGCGTCTGTTACACAATTTGATAGTTATCATTCAGAAAAATGGCAGTATTTATGAGATATACACATTGGAATTCTTTTTCCGTTTAGTCTTCGAGAAGTTACTAAGTGAGCTTCACGATGCAATTTCTTACAATGTGTTTCGTTTAAGACACTTAACATGTAATTCTCATCTTGACTCTATGTATTTTCTGTGTGTTTTAGTCTGGTGATTTTCTCATACATGTGCAAGTACATTTTTAAGCCTATTTTTGTGATTTCTTTCAACCTGCACCTTCCTATCTACATTATGACTTTTCTATCCCTTTTGAATGTGAATTTTCCTCTGTCACCTTCTTGTTTTAAGAAGGTTATACCCTAAGAACCATCGACATATCCTAGAAGGACTAAACAGCTGTGTGATGTAGTTCAGTTCATTTAAATGGCTCTACGCAACTCTTTACAGTACCGTTGAGCGAAGCGCGTATGCGTAACAGAGTTTCTGAACGGTTTGATAGATAACGACTGTACTTCTAAAGGTTTGTTACCAGTGACGAGGAAGTTACGGCGTAAGCCTTATGGTAGGTTCCTGACAGAGATCGATATGGGGGACAACGCCATAGGCAGAGATGACCTGTCGATTCCCGACTCACGGGTAAGGGCGATTTCAGAGTTTCGAGTTTTCTAAACCACTGAAAATGTGGTTTTCTTGCAAAATAGTTTTGTCGTAGTGCAGTGTTAACGGTGTCTGGTGAGAACTACTCCAGGCTGTGGTAATATACACCGACTGCGAACCGCTAAAACACGGGATTATAACAAGCTGTGTGAGATAGATATTTGCAAAACATCTTTTATTGTGGATGTTTAATGTTTACAAATTTGTGAGTTATTCAAGGAACATAGTTGGAAAAGTTCACCTGAACTTTCTGTCAGCGGTGAGCAGGAAAATTCCAGCCCCTTAAAATTTCGTCCGTTTCTCTACCTTACCTGACTCAGATGCGACTATAAAACGAATGTTTATTTCTTTCCGACTGTCGTTCATGAACGTTGCCTCCGGGTCTTACCTGTATCATGGACTCAGATATAAGTGTTTGTGTTTACATTTCAAGCTAAGTCCTTGTGTAAGCTTGAGCTCTCATGCTTCAAGCTTGTCAAACGTTAGAATGTATCTGCTATATATATAATGGGCCTGCTACTTTCAGTCTAGACATAGAGACCGTCGTAACAATATAATATGTATAGAAGGTGTATTATTCTATATAAGCTAACATCTATGATATCTAGGATCCCAACTTTCATTTTTTACATGCTTCTGTGGTCTTGGTCTGATCTCTGTCACAGGTGTGAATATACTGGGTCAATGTTTTTTCCCCAAGTATTAGTGTATCTTTTCTCTCAATAATCAAAAGTCATTCGCTATTTAACATTGATAAGAAATATTGAGAAAAGGTAAAGTCAGTTCAAATCTTTGAAGAATCGCTGTAACCCATGAGATTCTGCTCTGTTGTTTGAGATGCAAATTAACAGAGCCAAACATCAGAGCACAGTTTAAGATATTCTTGTGGATTTCTGATATTGAGAAAAAATGTTCATTATTAGATCTAGTCTCCTTTAGTACTTTTATGCCTGATGTACTTAAATATTAAGTGAAATGTATTGGAATTTGATTATAATCCCAGTGCAAGACTGACATTTTGTAGCAAAAGCACATTGAAGGCAAAGTTGAGAATGAGATACACTTATCTGTTGCAAAATGTCAGTCCAAGACTTAGAAAAATCAATTTTGAACCTATACAGTTTATTTTTAATACAGATCTTTGTCAAAATTGTATTCAAAATTTTTCAGGGACATATGCTTCAACATATTACTTCCCCTTGTGGTTATTACAAATGTAGACAAAACAAGAACATTGATTATAACACCAATTAATTGTAGTTGTGATGTCACTGGCACCAAATGATGTGTAAAGTGAATATACGTAAACGAATCACAAATGTGTTGAGAAAGAAAAATCTAGCACATGAAAATGTGTGAGATTTATCTGTGTGATGTACATGTACCAGAACTTTGTAACATTACCACACACATGTAATTGAGTCCACAAGTCCTGTGATTATTGCAGGATCTTTCTGGTGAAACCTGAGTAACATTTTAAAAACATTGATGAGTCCAGTTACAAAGGGATTTAGTGGGTTCTGTAAATTTGGGTGATTCTCTTAGGAAAAGCATGAGTCCAAATGTTTGAGTCCCAAAAACTGCTGAAGCTTTTTCAGAACTGTTTTTAGCTGGTCGATTTCCTCAATATAGTTTTTAGTAAGTTTGTGCAAGAGCAATATCTAGGTTGTATATTTAATGACCATGAAATCTAGCTAAAGGGTGACCATGGATAAGGAAAAAACTGAAAAATGTTGTATTTATGGTTTTTGTGCAAGAGCAATATCTAGGTTGTATATTTAATGACCTTGGAATATAGCTACATATATGGTCAATGTATATGTTACATGGACACAATCTTTTTCCGTGTGCATTGTCTCAGTCTAAGTATTTCCTGGAATTGAATGATGATGACTGCTACTTAGAAATACTGTATGTAGGTATGTAGATATATTTTATTGACAATCCTTCATGATGGGAAATTTTACTTACAAAGGGCTGAATATTAAATATCAAAAGTTCAGCACGGTTTATGATGATGTAGATTGTCTCTACTCATGTAGTCTGGTTATAAATATGTTATTTTTTCATTTCCTAAAATGGAGATATATATTCTTAACTAAACATCACAAAGGAAAAGATTGTCCAAATATGTATACATAAATGTGCATAGTCAAATTAAAAATTGTAATGAAATATATTGAATGAAGGTTTCTATTTCCGATCAGTGATTTTAAGGCAAACAACTGTATTCAATTCTTTTAACATATTTTTCGGCTCCATCTCATTGTTGGAAATAAATCATATTTATCCTGCAAATTCTGACCCATACTCAAGAAAATTAAAGGCTACAGGCTTATTACAGGACAATGAAATATCCTTTGTAATTTCACTGAACAGCAATAGAGCTACAGCTTTTTTATATAACCATACATAGGCTTATTTTGGGAGAAATGTGATACCTAATATAGACGGTATTTCTTTAACCAAAAGTTACAAAAAAGCTTCATCAGTGAATTCCATGATATCACAGAGTTTGAACTGAAATAAGTTAACATTGGATTTAAGCTTAGATTTTACATATATATGTGTGTTTGTTTCTGAAATATCGTGACATACCTCTGGTATACCACAGATAGATCAACAGCTGTGATCTGTGTGTATTTACTTTAGGACTTAAATAATGCAGAAATACAATATATATTTGTAGATAAACTTAAGCTAGCTTAATGTTACCCAATTTTTATCACAGAAATAAGGTAAAACTGACTAACAAGTCTGTTGTTTAGATTTGACCATGATCTGTGGTGAAGTATGTCTCAACACATCACAGAATTATTTTATTTGAAGTTTTGGGCCAAATGAAAGAAGAAAAAAAAAGACACTGCATATTTGAACAATTTCATAATAATAAAATTGTCATGACACTGTACTCCAATAGTACTATGTATGATTATATGTGTAGGGACATTTGAAGGTCTGGAATGAAATCAAATATCCTGTGTTATTCCAGTCATATTCAAAATTTTTTTTTTAAAAAGACATTTTTAAGTGGTAAATAAAGAAAAATAAATATGTACATACATGTTAGAATGGACTAAAATTTGATTGCAGAAAAGATAGTTATGGAAATGTTTAACATTAAAAAGGTTGCACACTCAAAATTACCTATAAGTCAATATCACGTGGACTTGGCACAAATCCCAATCCTTTGGTCCAGATATATATTACATTTATCATATTACATATGGATCCTGGATTGGAAATTGGTGCTAATTAAGTCCACGGGGTCATATAATGTGCTGAATATAATAATGAGTTGCAGGTATTAAGCATTAAAACAAACAGTTGTGTGACTTTTCACTTCAGGTTTAATGTAATCTTATTACCCCTAAGGGCCTGAGCAGCCCTGGTTTAATTTACCTAAAACATATAAGTAAATTATATACTGGTAAGTTATATTTCTTATTTAAATTACCTACAACATAAAATAAATTGTATACTAGTAAGTTAAATTTTTAATTTTTAAATTGTATACTGGTAGGTTTGTTGTTTATTTAATTTGCCTACAACACGTTGTTGAATTGTTAACTGGTTTGTGTGCAAATTTGAATTAATTGGTAGGTGTACAATTCTAAACTGATCATATTTGACATCCTGTTGAGGAATCTAGAGACATAAACAGGCTGTTTGAGATGGAAACATTCAAACCTGTGTTAGAGGTCACTCTCTATGAGTGTCATCTGTCCATAACCACAGCATCTCCTGGTCTTTAATGTTACAGTATTCGTAGTAGTTGAACTTATATGTGGTTTTCAGTGTTCCAAAATTCTAGGTCACTTGTCTATAAAGACCACTAATTCCTGTTCTCATTTTTACACAAATCTATGTCACCTGTCTCTAAAGAATACTTGTTCTGGTTCACAATGTCACACAATCTTAGGTCACCTGTCTATAAAGACCACTTGTTCTGGTTCACAATGTCACACAATCTTAGGTCACCTGTCTATAAAGACCACTTGTTCTGGTTCACAATGTCACACAATCTTAGGTCACCTGTCTATAAAGACCACTTGTTCTGGTTCACAATGTCACACAATCTTAGGTCACCTGTCTATCAAGACCACTTGTTCTGGTTCACAATGTCACACAATCTTAGGTCACCTGTCTATAAAGACCACTTGTTCTGGTTCACAATGTCACACAATCTTAGGTCACCTGTCTATAAAGACCACTTTCACAGCAATTAATCCTATCTACATGCTACTTATCACTGTGAACAATAAACAGACAATATTGGAGTTGAAGAACTAGTACAACATATTACAGCAGATCACATGTATTTTTAGGTCATCTGACCCAAAGGGTCGAGATGACCTTTAGCCATCATGCTTCGTCCACCATGCGCCTAGTAGCATACCAGAAGGCCTAGGGGGCTAATACTTGCCCATAACATGCTGGCATGGAGCCCTACAAACTTTGTTCAAATTAATGACCTTGACCCACTTTCAAGGTCACAGGGATCAAATATGTTAAAATATACAAACGGCTTCTTCTCAATAAGCAATAGTCCATGATTGCTGATATTGCGTCTGTAGGATGCTGGGATGAAGGGCTACCAAGTTTTTTCAAATGAATGACCTTGACCCACTTTCAAGGTCCCATGGGTCAAATATGTTAAAATATACAAAAGGCTTCTTCTCAATAAGCAAAAGTCCATGATTGCTGATATTGCGTCTGTAGGATGCTGGGATGAAGGGCTACCAAGTTTTTTCAAATGAATGACCTTGACCCACTTTCAAGGTCCCATGGGTCAAATATGTTAAAATATACAAAAGGCTTCTTCTCAATAAGCAAAAGTCCATGATTGCTGATATTGCGTCTGTAGGATGCTGGGATGAAGGGCTACCAAGTTTTTTCAAATGAATGACCTTGACCCACTTTCAAGGTCCCATGGGTCAAATATGTTAAAATATACAAAAGGCTTCTTCTCAATAAGCAAAAGTCCAAGAGTACTGATAATGGACCTGTAGGATGCTGGGATGGCATGCTACTAAATTTGTCCAAATGAATGACCTTGACCCACTTTCAAGGTCACAGGGGTCAAATATGTTAAAATATGCAAATGACTTCTCAATAACCAAAATGATTAGAGTGCTGATATTGGGCCTGTAGGATGCTTTGAAGAAGTGTTACCAAATGTGTTCAAGTGAATGACCTTGACCCACTTTCAAGATCACAGGTTCAAATATGTTAAAATCTGTAAACGACTTCTTCTCAGTAACCAAAAGGCTCATAGTGCTGATATTGGGCCTGTAGGATGCTGGGAGGAAGGGCTACCAAGTTTATTAAAATGAATAAAGCCCACTGTTTTAACGGCAGACACACTGTTGTTAGAGTTTGGCTTGCTTTTTGTCAGATGACTGTTAAGGCCCATGGGCCTCTTGTTTATTTATTGTGTAATTATTCTTTGTTGTTGTAGACTGCTGTCATCCAGATGAGGAAGAAAGCTCTTGATCCAAAGGTTGTCATGGAGCAGATCTACATGCAGTCCTTGACCGAGGGTCTACAACGTCTTCTAACCTCTGGAGACCATAATGACGTCACCATCCTCGTTGGCACGAAAACATTCCATTGTCATCGCACCATTCTTGTAGCTTTATCATCCTACTTTGAGGCCATGTTTAATTCTGGAATGAAAGAAAGCATAAGTGGAGAAATCAAATTTCCTGATATGAATGAAGACCAGTTTGAGATGGTCTTAGGATATATGTATTCTGGCAAGATTGACCTTGTAACTGAAAATGCAATGGATATTTTGGATATTGCCTCCATTTTACAGATCAAGTCTTTACAAAGAATTTGTGAGGAGTTTCTGCTCCCACATCTAACAAAAGAAAACTGTATCAAAATCTGGAAAATTTGTGTCCTACATTCATGTGAGGTCCTCTTAGAGAAATCTTTTCAGATGATGGTGAGAAATTTTCAAGAAGTTTGTAAAACAGAGGAGTTCAATGAACTTGAAGCTAAAGAACTTGCCTCCATCATAAAGGAAGATGATTTGAATGTTGAAAGTGAAGACAAACTTTGTGACATTGTTTTAAAGTGGATAAAAAAGGACAAAGATGTGCGAACAAAACATGTAGGAATACTGTTTGAAAATATCCGCCTGCCCTTTCTCAAGCCAGAGTACCTTGTCAATCTGGAGGAAGTTTACAGGTTTCTAAAGGAGGACTCCAACTGTGCCAAATGTATAGACTTTGCCAAGAAGTATCACCTCCTTCCAGCACGTCAACAGGAGATGTACAGTAATCAGACACGATTCCGCAGCACGGGTGACTCGGAGGAAGTCCTTGTGTTGCTAGGAGGTTGTCTGACCACGTCCCCACCATACTCTCGCTCCCTCAAAGTGCCATGCTACAATTTCAGAAAGAGAGTATGGTATGAGATTGCACCATTGCCCTTTGACCCCGGTATTGAATTTGCAACATGTACCTACAAGTTTGATATCTACATCACTGGAGGTGGGTCCATGCAGAACTGTCTCCTCAAGTATGACTACAATAAGAACAAATGGATGCAGCTCTGTACTATGAAGAGCGGTCGCAGACGACACGCCATGGTGGCTGTTACCGGATACCTTTACGTCATGGGTGGGTATGACAATAAACTTGCAGATGGGTCACGTATGATTTCCAGTATTGAACGTTATGACATTCGTGAGGATTCCTGGGAACATGTCGCAGATTTGATAATTCCCGTCAGTTCATTCTCAGCTGCGGTGATGTCAGACGTTATCTACATGTTTGGTGGGGAGATGAATGACCGTAAGGACACATCTGTGATACAGTGTTACGACACGCGCCTCAAGACCACATCAAAGATGGTGTGTAAGATTCTACATCCTTGTAAACTCACACGTGCTGTGATATGTGGGAAGAGGGTGTTCCTTATCTTCTTTGACGGACAGGTGATGGAGTTTTCTCGTCACTCGCAGGATAACACACGAGGCACCTGTCGTATGGTTGGACAACTTACTGCATTCCAGAGAATCCACTTCGGTGTGATTCATTACCAGGGCAACGTGTTGGTGCTTGGCGGGGAGATTGACACTAATACACTCTGTGATGATATGATCATGTTTGACCCCACGACCTCAGGGTGTAAGAAACTACAGGACACTCTCCCTGCACCAAGGTTGATTGACAGCTGTGTCAAAACAGCTGTTAAGAAGAAATTCCTACAGGTTCCAGAGGACCCAGACCCAAGATAATGCCAAATAGGAATTTAAGTTGATAATGCATTGATGCCATTCAGCAGCACTACAAGAGTGTAATATGCATGTATTTCTTTTAAATTCCTCAAAATGGAAAACATTTTCATTTGAAAGATAAATTTGAAGTTTTAACTCTGCTAGTTCCCTCCACGTATGTCTTTTTCCTGTTTCTTGACTGTCTTGATTTTTTAGCATTTTTTTTTTTTTTTTTTGGTTTGTTTTTTCAACATTTTGGCAAAACTACTCAAAAATCTCAATCTTGATCCCCAGCAGCACTAGTACCTGAGACAAAGTCAACCTAAATCTAGACATAGGTATACAGACCAATGTCAGACATTCTCGCAACACCTATCTGGGAAGATAGCTGTTGCCATGCTATCCTCATTTTGGCCGCTGACCCTAATTTATTTCGGGCAGAAATGAGAAACACATATATTCTTTTTTTTCTAAATTGGTAAGTTAGATACAGTATAAGTGACTAATTAATTCCTGTTTTTCTGCCAAGTGACTACCATGCATTTACTCACAATGTAATATAATCTCTAACTAAAGTCACAGGTTTATAAAGAACATCATCAGATATTGTCCACTCAGGAAATTAAGGGAGATAACTCTAACAACATGAAAAGGGGAGGCAACTTCATCACCAGTAACATATCAGTAATTTTGTATACTGTACCTATTACTTTTCCTACAGCATTTTTCTTGTTGGAGATGATGAAAGAGAGTTGTATTGTGGAACAGGAGGTGTGTTTATTAGCTTTACCCAGTACATTGTAATAGGGCCATTAATCTTCTATTCAGGCAGGGAATTATACTGAGTAAGCCATACTAGTAATGCTGTTTGATGTTGTCATGGCTGCTCCAGGAAAATTAGGGCTATTTAAAGGAAAAAAAGGTCAAACTCAATTCTGAGTTAACTCGACAAACTCCAATACAATGTACAGTTTAATATTATTTTTAAAGGGAGAAATTGTAACAGATCAGAATTAATAAAAAAAAGTTTGGTATTAAATGGGCTGCATGTATGATAGGGTGACATATTTTCTATTGCTAGCTACATGTCTTGTAGTGTTTTTGTGTATTAAAGTCTAGATTAAACCTTAGGACTTCACAGTAAATTATTAAAAATATACAAGATGTGACAACTAAATTTTTTTTTTTAATTTTGTGATATACAGCAATCAAAGCGAGAATTCACTCTTGGCTGTCATACAGCTTACAGTTTATGGTTCAGTAAAACACAGTTTATTTAAAATGGTAATTTGTGTTAATAACTCTATATTGAAAAATGAAAGTTTATTGTGATGTGAACTGAAGTTTATTCCACATGTTTCAGGGTTGTAAATATCCAGTGTACATGTTATGACAATGTATTGTTCCACTAACTACAAATATCACCAGATAACCAGGCTGTTGTCCAGTCTAGAAAACTTCCTTTTTTATGTATGTGCCATGCATTCATCAAACTTTCATTTGTACATATGTTGAGATGATGAAATATTGTCTGAATTGTATGCCAAAGTTATGGCCTTTTCAGATTTTTCTTTTGATACCAAAGATTTATCAAAGCATAAATGCCATGATTTTCACCTCAATACTTAATACCTTCATATCTCAAGCAGGCAGAATGTCATATTTGGAATTTAATGCTATGGCTCAAGGTCTGTGTTAATTTTGCAGTTTGTTTGCAGATATTTTGCTCAATGGAAATGCTAAATACCTGCTACCATGACATGACAAGAATGTACTAAATTTTATAGTATAGGTATAGGTAAATATAGGTTATTATATAGGTAAAGGTAAATATAGGTTATTATATAGGTATAGGTAAATATAGGTTATTATATAGGTGCAGGTAAATATAGGTTATTATATAGGTACAGATAAATATAGGTTATTATATAGGTATAGGTAAATATGGGTTATTATATAGGTAAATATAGGTTATTATATAGGTACAGATAAATATAGGTTATTATATAGGTATAGGTGAATATGGGTTATTATATAGGAATAGGTAAATATGGGTTATTATATAGGTATAGGTAAATATGGGTTATTATATAGGAATAGGTAAATATAGGTTATTATATAGTTATAGGTAAATATGGGTTATTATATAGGAATAGGTAAATATAGGTTATTATATAGTTATAGGTAAATATAGGTTATTATATAGGTACAGATAAATATAGGTTATTATATAGGTAGGTAAATATAGGTTATTATATAGGTATAGGTAAATATAGGTTATTATATAGGAATAGGTAAATATGGGTTATTATATAGGTATAGGTAAATATGGGTTATTATATAGGAATAGGTAAATATAGGTTATTATATAGTTATAATAGGTAAATATAGGTTATTATATATAGTATAGGTAAATATGGGTTATTATATAGGAATAGGTAAATATAGGTTATTATATAGGTATAGGTAAATATAGGTTATTATATAGGTAAAGGTAAATATGGGTTATTATATAGGAATAGGTAAATATAGGTTATTATATAGTTATAGGTAAATATGGGTTATTATATAGGAATAGGTAAATATAGGTTATTATATAGGTACAGGTAAATATAGGTTATTATATAGGTATAGGTAAATATAGGTTATTATATAGGTACAGGTAAATATGGGTTATTATAGGAATAGGTAAATATGGGTTATTATATAGGTATAGGTAAATATGGGTTATTATATAGGAATAGGTAAATATGGGTTATTATATAGGTACAGGTAAATATAGGTTATTATATAGGTATAGGTAAATATAGGTTATTATATAGGTACAGGTAAATATAGGTTATTATATCATATGGATGGAAATTATTCTTTCCAGTATGAAAATCTTACTTATAAAGAAGCAAGGAGAAACTGTAACCATTTACTTGCTGTGATATGGCATTCATGGTCAATATAGATGACAGCGTCATATTTCAAACAATGGGGTCTTATCTTCTGCAAAACATTAAATCCTTTATAACAACTGTAAATGCCAGATCATGTGTGCTAAATGCTTCTATTTACAACCTCTTCCTATGTTTTCCACTTACATCCAATGTTTTATGATTTAAAATGTAATAATCATTCACTACTGATGGTGAAAATCCTCCAAGGAAACAGCTATTTTGGTGATGAGAAGTCAGTGTTTCCAAGGTAATGAGTTTATACTAAAAATATAGTGGTCATGTGATGGATGTGTCTTTGATCATACTTCTTCATAAGCTTTATCATACGATTGTCATCCAAATTAACAGAAACCAATCTAGATTTTTTATTTCAAGCTTCTAGTCTTACCCTTCTGAGGAAAAAGATGGATGTACAAAGTTCATGTGCCTTCCCACAAAACTCCATTGCTCAAGTCTTATTCCTCTGTTGTTGTGTACATGACTGTAATAAGGTAACCAAAATGTGTAAAATTGTGTTGTCATTGGAATATGTATCCATAAATGTATACACAAATATAGTGATGTCACCAGAATAGGTAGGCAAATATAGTGATGTCATTAAAATGTGTACACAATTGAAGTGAGGTCATTAAAATGTGTACACAAATGTAGTGATGTCATAAGATTGTGTACACAACTGAAGTATTGTCTGTAGACAATCTGATTAAAATGCAGATCCTTATTCTTTCTATGTTTATTTCCACCTATGTAGAATCCGACAACATTCCATAAGGGGTCATTTTCTTTTGTCTGATGACCATTTAATGCTTCCCTGTCCTTCAGCCTTGATTTTTAAGGGCTGTGACCAGATATAAGATGACAAGAAGTTGGAGACACTGGTTGCTATTCAAAAGAATTACAAAGCAATGCAACATAAGATATGGAATTCTTCCAATTAACTGTCCTGCATATGGCCACTAGCTCACCATCAAATATTTTTTAAAATTGATTTGGGTTCCTGGTCTTATAGTAGGATATGTACAGTATAAATAATATGGGAGATAAAAAAAACTGTGTAGAATGGCTTGTAATGAACCAGAGCAGTCCTTATGTTTCCTTGTTTGTTTAGAAACAAGATTGTTTGAGATCGGATCAGTTTACCAGGGATGTACAATAAGTGTCATTGGAAAAGACTCATTGTTTGACAAATATGAATCCACTTCTATGTTATAAAACAGAACCAGGAAGTAAGAGATAAAGATCAACATGTCTAACTCATTGACTCTGACCAGCTGACGTCCTAACACTAGTATGTTATAGGATTTAAATTTATGTATTGTTATACACCCTCTATGACAACTCAGGATGTAAAATTACTGGTTTTGTAACCCAGTGTGAAAATCAGATGGGAGGAGGGAAGCGAGTGAGGGGTGGGGGTCGGTTATCTAAATAAGGCAAGATTTAGAATGGGTCTGCACTGTTCAAAGTTTTGTACTCTAATAAACCACTTTATCATTATTTCTTCAGATAGCATTTTGTGGGCCTCCTGCATGTTTTTTATTATCACCAGATTCTTCAATATGAGCTTGCCTCAAATTGACTAAATTTTTACAGGCGGTAAACCCAGAACACTATTATTGAAGTGTTTTTCTCAAAGACACTCCACAACAGCATAGATGGGTCTATTTCTCAATTATTTAATTATATCTTGTAAGCTTCTTATTTCTGATCCATTAGTAGTGTCCCAAATTATGTACAGGCATTTCTATTGAAGGGAAATAACTCTTTTGTTATGTAGTCATCATTCTGTAATGATTAACAGTCATGTTGCTTGTGTTTAAATGATGAAATAATTGAGAAAATATACCAGAACTTTCATTGTTGTTTTTCTGTTGAAGTGTCACTGGTTAAATTCCCAGGTATTTACCAGAATCAACAAACAGATCAATATGTAAAAATGTTCCCCACTGTATGGTCTTAGGTACAGATAAGGGGAGATAACTCAATTGATTTTTGAAGAAAATATTTGTGTTAGAAAAATCAATCAGAAAATTAATAGTGAAAAATCAGTAAAGTGACTATAGTCATAATGCATGT